GGGGGGGGGAGTGTGTTTACATTTCTATAAAAACTGCATTTTTATAAAATGGTTGGAAATGGTTTCTTTTGACTCGGTAATAGTGTTAATTGTAGATTTTACATAATGCCAGTGGAAATAACGACTCTTCATTCCATCCACAGTGAAGGAGCTCAATTGGGGTAATTCTTGGCTCTTTTTAGCCCTGGTATTAGCTCTTCGGTCAGCAGGAGATGATTGGTACAAGGTGCAGGGTTAGCACATCTCTGTCCTTTGCCCACAGAAGCTGTTGCTTTCTTACATTGGGGTAGAGATCAAGCATTGCCTGCAACTGTGTATAGTTGAGTCCCTCTCCATCTGTGACTCATTCAGCAACTCATTCTCTCTCACACAAATACCTGCTCCACTTGCCTCACTAGTAGTATCATAGGTGATATCTGACCTTCTTTTATTTTGCTTTCCAATTTTGTGGATAGAAAAGAGGGGTCTGTAAACTTCCATATAAAACCACAGTAAGAGGAACTGAGAGAGGGTGAGAGGTGGGAACAGAAAAAGAGTGGATAGATAATGAACACTGCACTGGTACAGATGAGAGGAAGGACTGTTGTTAAGGAATGTATGACCGGTCATTATAGGGATGAGAACTGATGATCTGGAACAAGAGATGCATTACAAGGTGACCTGCGAAGGACGAAAAGAGGGGAAGGGAGGGAAATGTACAACAATGAAAGAACAAAACTTTAAAAAAAAAATTCAACCGCCCTGCAAACTTTCCCTAAAATCATAATAAAATGAAAAGAGGAAGAAAGAAATTAAATGAAAGTTGACCACAGTAAAATAAAATCAGAAGGAACAATGATGAACTGTCCATGGTCTTGTTTTCAAAAACTCATTTTACTATTATTCTAAATTATAACCTCTTCAAAGCCAAGAATTTGTACCTTCTTACACACACAGAAAGTTTAGTAATATTTTGAGTAAGAAGTGTGAGTTAATTTTTTTTACAACTGCACTATTGATTGAAAGATTTATAGAATTTTTTAAGAATTTATAGAATTTTTAAAAATCTTTATTTCCTTTTGAAAGCTACTCTGTGATGTAAATCAACATACATTTCAGAATCCTTTCTCCATGATTATTTGCTTTAATAGTTATACACTAAACAATCTTTTTTTTTTTTTTTACACTAAACAATCTTATCTGGACTAACTTTTGCTAAAGTGCCTTTAAAAAAAAAGCTGAAATTAAAGTGTCTTTAAAAAAAAAAAAGCAGAAATGGCTGGGATTTTAATCCAAAATGAAGACACTGTGAAGCTATGCTAATTGCTTCACTTACTCACTTTTGTCCATTTGGAACAGACTCAAGTTGGCCTTCCAGCCAGTTTTCCTAGGTTGTGAATCACACAGGAGGAAGCTTGCCCATCTTTCTCCTGTAGAGCGATTGCTAGATTTAAACCACCAGCATGTTATGACCTTTGAGCTAGCAGCCTGACTCCCTGTGACTACATCATCAGAGTTCTGCTAATTATTTAGATGTCCTAAATGTGCGTCACGGTTCTTCCTTCTCCAGGCCATTTCATCATTGAAGCTGGGTGTGTTACCTTTTTTTAAAAAAATATTTATTTGAATACAATCATTTGTTTACATTGTGTTTCATTCATGTACATTGTACTTGATACAGTCTGTCATTTATATTATGTCCCATGTGTTACTTTATAGAAATGAAGATTTCTCTCATTTACAACTAAATCTAGAATGTTAAGAGAGAAGAAACATCGATTCACAGGAACTCAAAGGTAGAGGAGACTACTGTTTGATCCAGTCTTAACCCAGAAGGCCTGAGCCAGAAAGTGCCTTTTTTTAAAAAAAAAGGAGGAAAATGGGAAGTTTGGGGGTTAAGTAAAAAGAACACAGAGGTAGGAGACCTCATTACTAATCCTAGCTCAGCAGTTCAGTAGCTGCATGATTTTAGATAAAAATCCCTTCAGTATTCATTTTCCTTATGCATAATATGAAAGAGTAATATAAATGGATACTATGTCATTGTTGTTGTTGTGTGAGTACTGTTGAGTTGGAACTGAGTCATAAGTGACCCTCCAGCAGGTTTTCAGAAGCAACAAATCACACTGGAAAAGACTGTCCCTGTTTCTTTTATGAAGCACCTGGTGGATTTGAACCACATACCTCTGGGTTAGCAGTGCAATTTACCTTGGAGGTAAACATGATAAAGCTTCATCTCACACACTTTAAGATGTTGCTAGGAGAGGTAGATTGACACACTGACTACAGCAATGAGCTCAAGTGTGTCAGAGATTGTGAGGATGGCACAGGACAAAATAGGGTTCACATCTGTTGTTCACGGGGTCTCCATGAGTCATATTTGATTCTATGCCACCTAACAACAACAACAAACAAGCCACCATTGGGTAGCTCTGGGCAGCCTAGTGAAAAGATGTTGCACTGTAATCCTAAAGGCACATGGTACGAACCCACCAGATGCTCCAAGGAAGGAGGATGGATGATATCTTGTGATATTTACTGCCTCTGGAAACCTGCTGAATGGTCAGCAATGGGTCAGTTCTGCCTAGTTGGCAAACAACAAGATGTGGCCACCAGATCTCCCAGTAGAGATACTATGAATTGGAATCAACTCAACAGCACACTAATTACCACCATCCC